GGCAAACCTATCCGTGGTTGAATTCGCCGATCCTTGACGCGATCACGCGTATCACCGTTCCAAGCGTTAACAATGTTAAGCGGAATATTCGAACGATTCACCGATCCCATTTTCAATTACAGAAAGTCGGCTCGTTTCGCGAACTTCCGCAACCGGAAACGGAAGCTCCGACACCATAGAGTTTCTAGGAGAGACTGGAGCGAACCTTCCGGCAAAGAGAACTTTGTTGAACACATTTATTTGTATAATTAAAATTCATGTGAGATAAGGTTATAGATTCAATTAATTTATCGATACAACGATGAATGTACCTGATCGATTATAATAACACTTTTACTTAATGAATAAATAAAGTAACAAAGTGTCTCAACACCACCGATCGATAATTTTTTAGAAATTGGGATTTGAATAAAGAAGTTATTTGTTTGAAATTTGCTTAGAAATCTTTAGCGGTGTGTTCATGATCTCTATAAATATTAATATGTTTATTAATAATAATGTAAAATGATTCATAAACGACTAAATTAATCGTTTAATGGAAAACATTAAAGAATAAACGAAGTAAAAGGATACAGAAATTTACTACGTCTTATTCGATAAATATAAAGTTAATTATCCTTGGAAACGAACCGCGAACGCAGCAATTATACCCTAAGCTAACAGTATATTGTTTAATTTATCCCGCGTATTTACTGTTTTCTATTCTACCAACTCGTTTTCATCATAAATACGTAAAATCTGCGGACTACTAAATATGATTTCAATGCTGATAAATTATATCGTTCGGGAATACAGAAATCGTGGCTCACCGGCAGCAGTCTTTGCGCAAGCAGATGAGAAGGTAGAACGTCAAATTTTCTCATAAAAATTACAAAGTAATTCAAGAGAGTCCTCAACTTTCATAGAGGGAAAAAAGACCTGTCGGCGATCGTTTTTTTCAGCATCGTGGCTGCGAGGCTTTCGCCGTCTAAATTGCAGAAAACTCGAGAAATACGTGGGTTTATTAAAACTATTCTCCAAGCACGGCAAAAGAAAAATATTGCGTCCCCGCGGCGGGACGCAAACGTGTTTAATTTTAACGGGACAGCTCTCGCAATTTTTCGACTGAATTTACCCGGTCTCCCCGCGAAGACTTTTTAAATTAGATCCTTCAAATTTGCATCATCCGTTGCACTTAGTTATCAACGGGTCTCTGTCCTTTCCGTTGAACCGTGAATCATTTGCAACGGCGCGACGCTGGGGGAAGATATTTTTCCGAAATGAAACTATAACCATAACTCCGCCGAGAGATCAGTTAAAACTGACAAGACAGATGCTCATGAATAATAAGTGAAACACTATTGCTAATAATATTATGAAATATGAATAGTAACGTAAGACACTTGAACGTTATTTTTGTCAATAAATCATCATCTTACTTGCGTAAAGTGAAATAAAAATATAAATACTATACCTGGATAAGATTAATATGGAAATAAATTTTCCCGAATCGATTTACCGAGGCAACGAGTAAATATAAAAACAATTAACGATTCTATAGAGTAAACAAACGCTTGATATTGAACTGCAATATAGTTTGCTTATATTTTACGTCGTAACAAAGCTGGCCAAATTTTATTTAAAATAAATCGAAATAATATAATATTTTATTTCAGACCGTTATTTCAAACTACAAACAATATCGATCCGTTTGAGATAAAGCGATATCAAACAATAAATTATTTCATTATTTCTTTATATCAAATTGGCCAAAAGAAATACTGTTTAAATTAATAATGAACAAAACGATTTTATTTTGTGAAATCATCACAACAATTTGTTAAGAGCAATGCTCTCTTCACGAAGTAGTAATTCTCAAAATAATAATCAACAAAGAGGTTTTACTCTATGAAATCTTCATAACAATTTGTTTCATCCAAAAAGATGTAAAAACTAGCCCCAAAAAATAACTTTAACCTCATAATTATTTCAAATAATTATAAAATAAAACTATACGTTATTTCAGAAGAAAAGAAGAACACGTTTGAAATGATATTTTACAATACAAAAAAAGAAATAACATGTTTGAAATGATATTTTAAATAACGTTCTTT